TGGGTGGCCAAATCAACTTTTCACGGCCATACCGTTTTCACACAAGCATTTTTGGACCGACCGACAAATGCTGCAGGCTAGCCTTGCACACATAAGTCTCAACGAGCGATGGTTCTCACGGCAAGCAAAGATGACACACACAAAAGAGGAGCGCAAACATTGCTCGCAATCAGCTTCTGCGCAAGGATGACCGCACAACTTTTGAGGCAAAATACAGCCTGGGGATTGATCCCCAGGCTCGTCAATTATGTACGTTTAGGGTTTAGGGCGGGCTTTAACATGTGAGCCCCGAAAACTATCCCAGGTTCGAAAGTTTCAAGTAAATCCTTGCAACCCCTAAGCCCTAAACGCTAAACCCTAAATCACCGACCCTGAACAAGGTTAACAAGTTCCAAGTTTGGGAGTTCAAGGGGTTGCGGGGTAGTTGATGTGTTGGGGCCTTGCTGCGTTGGCTTGCTATGTTTCTTTGCGTAAGTTGCAGCGGGGAGACCTGTGCTTGGATCTGTTGAACCTCAGAAGATGCATAAGTCTATAGCCTATGGGGGCCCCTTCGAGGTGTATGGTTCATATACTCGGGGGCCCATCTATAGGGTGTTGCACACGTGTGTGCGCGTGTCTGTGTGTTATGCTGGGAGAAATGCGGCGCCTTGCGCCGCAGCCGGGTACCATCTTGAACTGTTTCAAAAAAAGCCGCTGCCTGAGTGTTTTTTTGCAGCTCGCACCTGCTTCCACGTGTCAGGCAATCCGAGTAGCCATCTCTGCAACAAGCGCTTGTCGGCGCTTCTGGCATCACTGAGCTTCAAAACCTTCATCAACTTCTTTAGCCCATCCTCATCCATCCAAGTGGCGAAGTAGTGCGGATTTTTCCGCGTCTCTTGTCGCACCAGATGGTGCAAAAGGTGCAGTTTGGGCCGCACTTTGTACAAACGCACTTGATCCCTAGCAGCTTTCTTTGCCAAGGCGCAATACGCTTGCATGAAAATCTCGCCAGCTTCCTTCACGTTGGCGTGCTCAGCTGGGCTCAACCACCTTCCGGCGTTCGTCCAGATGCTCAAGAAATGGTTGGAGGCCCAAAGGCAAGCAATGACGTCAGCAGGGACAATAAACGTGTCAAACCCAGAGCTCTTAAGCTCTGGATAGCATCGCTGTTTCAAGTTCAGTTTGTTTTTGGTCAACTTCTTGAGCCGGAGCGAGTATCCAGAAGAACTTGCAAAGCGACGCAAACGGTTTGTTGCTTCCATAAGCTTGTTCATCGCGGACCCTGGCCCAAACACGCGGTTGCTCAACATAATGGCAAGACTTGAACCCAACACATCCCGGCCGACACCGAGATGCCAAACATGCAGCAGATCGGGCACGATGGCGCTGATTTCGAAGCCCGGCAGCGTGGCGTAGGCTGGCAAATACTTCCAGGGGCACTGAGTATGGAGATCTTCCCAAAATCTGGCACACTCACGGGTGTCTGTGAAAGCATAAGCAACATCGCGCAAGCCCTTCGTGGCTGAGCACTTCCAGCAAACCTGCAGGAGGGAGCAATTCTTTATGCCCTGACAACGAAGTTTAAAAGCCCCAACCCTACATAAGGCGGCCACCCGCGCCTCGTCACGGTCTGCGTACCTATCAAAATTAAAGACTTGCTTGAGCGCCTTCCAGTCGCCCCGGAATCCGGCAACGTAGAAGAATAGCCTGGCAACCTGAACTTCTTGCCGCCAAAATTCCAACATCTTATACGGGTTAAGGTTAGGGTTAGGGTCATGCTAAACAAAGCAAACAATTGCCGGAAAGGCACAGGCCCACCTCCCATTGAAGGCAGATCCTGAATTACCAGGCCATCCTCTCCCAGCTTTTTGAATGACTGCACAATCTCCCAGCACGCTGCCTGGACCGTGAGGTTGATCTGTTCCGAAGTGATTGCGTAATGATCCACAGGAAGGATACAGCATAGAAGCCTGGATGCCAGCGAGTTTGTAAGACACCCGCAAAGATCACTGGTGAATGTGATGAACATCCAAGTGTTGTTGATGCACGTGGCTTCGTCGCCTCTAAAATGCAGAAAAACTGTTCCCAACATGTGAGTTCATGAAAAACTGCAAATCAAGGAAAGATATACAAGCGCCAAGTAGCAGTAGAGGGTACAGGGAATAGAGATCCCTGAGTTGTCAGCAGCCGCAGCAGGGTGAGCCCGATGCTCTTGACAGTACTCGGCCCAGTACTTTGGGACCATATCCCAATCCTCCACCAACATATCAAGGTGGCCTGCTTTGGCCATCGCTGCAACCTGCAGGGCTTTGGATTCGCGATATTTCGCTGTTTGAATTTGGAGGTGTGAAAAAAGGTTTGCGTTTTATCCAGACCACTACACGATCCGACCGAAAGATTACTTGAAAGGTCCCACAATCCCAGCTACAATATTGCGCGGAAGAATCATCGGCCAATCTTCCCAGACCACATTCCCCTCCACTAGCATAGGCAGCTTCACATAGGAAACATCGCACTTCAGCGATAACTCAATTTGGCCGCTCGCTCGTGAAGCCCCTTTTCATTCCCATTCCTTGGCTTAGGACTGTGGAGATGCACAAACACAGGCAAGGGCCAAAAATACACACGGCATTTGAGAATTGGCCAAGAATTAAAACACTGCTTGTCAGGCTAGCCTCGCCAGCAAAGAACTCTCGAAAATTTGGCCAACCGTCGCAGCATGTCTGACACTTGTGTAACCCCGACCAATCGCGCTAGCCAGCCTTGGATCAGCAACCCCCATTGACACCGTTAGTTTCCACCTGCCAGGCTACACTACACTTGTTGTAACGCACCAAGCCCCAAGGAAAATGGTTTCCACTCACTCAGACCAGGAGTCGCGGCATCTAGTTCTTCTCGCAAGCTGGCTACTCCGGATGCACCTGCGGAAGGGGTCAGGAATTTGCAGGGACATGCAGTACGATGAACGCGCGTCACGAGAAGGGAGCCAAATTTTCTCTCCGACAACACACAGCGCTGTGCGATCTAAGTCGGACATCGTTGTTTAAATGTGGCTGAGCAGCGCTATGACCTGTAATTGTTTGCAGCTCCTCACTGCCCCAAGGATTCCTACCATCCAAACACAGGACTCCTGCAACAGGGCTGGCCACATATCCAGACCTTCCGTTGTTCTAGCACCCCACGTGCAACCTATGAGACGCAGAGTCCCACGCCAGAATGACAGCTACGGATCACAACTGCAGCCAATGGCCGCACATGTACCAAAACTGATTGTTCGCAGGAAGGGCCAGCAATTAGCCTGCCTGTGTTTTGCCGGTAAGTTACAGCTAGCCACCAAGGATTCGCACTGAAGCTTAAGGAGCTGGGCCATTCCCAGAAGAATCAGGATACCCCACACAGTCCACCATCCGGACTGCAAAGCTGCTATCAGCTTTCAGCTTTCTCAGCCTTCTTGCGAAGCTCAGCAGCAACAGCTCGCGCCTGCACCCTGGCCAGGCTTGCTTGCTGAACCTCAGAATTGTCTGGCGCGCACAGGGCCAACAAAGGTTTGAGATCATTGCATGGCAAGCCAACATAATCAAGGGGCCAAAGATGCGCACTCAGCCGAAAAGTTCTCAATGTCATCTTCGGAGACATCTCTCAGCCTGACGCCGTCAATAATTAGGAGCCATGCTGCTTAGAAAACAAATCCTGATTGGACGTGAGCTTACAAAACATGTGGAATCACTGGGCTTTGTACTTATCCAGGTTGCTCTCCAACTCCAGCTTCAAACCCTCCACGGTGGTTCGCAAGCTGTGCCCCGGGGGCAGCTCGTAACAGATCGAGCACGCATTGTGCTCTTTCTTCAGCTCCTTTCCTTGCTAGAACTGACGTTAAGCGTGCTCGGCAGACACAGTTCAACTAATTTGCATGAAAGCCACGGCGCTCATCCTTGATCTCTTTGATGGTCTTAGGCTGGGCGAGAGCTGCCTTTGGCTTTGCCTTCGCCTTCCCCTTAGCCGTAGCCTTGAGGGCAGCGCCTGAGCTGCCCACAAATGATGGTCAGGAATGCGGATTTCTGCAAAAACGATTGTCGCCACTTCTCCTATTCAAAGGCGTCTGTTTCGCGAAAGTTATAATAGATCTGGAAGTTGAGACAGCCGTGTATGTCCACAGAATGACTTGCGTGGCATTTGGAGACCCTGGGAACCTTCAAGAAATTCCTGGAAGACTACATCACAAAAGAGAACTGACTTTTGGCAATGTCTGGCCCACCAAGAAAGTCACATGTTTTCACAACAGTTTCCTAAACCCTCCCAAAACCCTCCAAACCTACCCAAAAACCAGGAGGCGTTACACGGCCCAGAGCCGCTAGTTCTTTTGAACAATTTCGTGGGGAAATAAATGAATCAAGCGGCTTCCGGTGCCAGCAGCGCCAGCACCACCACTGCGCAGCCCTGCGGCCAAGCCCAAAATGGTATCTGTCCCGTCAGCAGCCAACGTCCGACCAGAAGGGGCCGCCGGCGCCGAAGTCAAGGATAGCAAGCTTCCCACACTCTCCGGTGTGGTCGCAACCCCGATGCGGGCTTCGCCCGTTTAGCTAACCATCTCCTTCTGGGTGATGTCCCGCTTCTTGGAGATGAGGTAGACAATGGATTCCAGGCATTCAGGGCAGTCCGGATCAGGAGTTCCTCCCGGTCGCACAATGGATTCGATCTTCTTCCTAGGCCAATGCAATGACTCACAACATTTTACACAAGCGGACTCTCAACTAATGAAGCCATGTGTCGCTGAGAATTTTCTGTCGATCATGTCCTGGAGCGTGACTTCCTCCTGGCCAGCAGCCAGCTCGGAACTTGTAGTCTTCTGAAGCACGAGCATGGACTCAGTGTTCTTCAAGTTCTGGCCATGTCGCAGCCATTTTTTGAACAAGTCATTCTTCTCCTGACATCATCAGAACAGGCATGGAAATAGAGAATCACAGGAAGGAATGGAAGGACCCCGCTAACGCAGCTAATGCACGGATTTGCTGCCAGACCAAATCTTGGCCATCTCCGGGAACTCACTGGCGCACATCTCCATGCGGCGACCGAGAAGCATCCATTCCTTGCGGTGCGTGCTGCTGTTACACTTGTTGGGCAAGTTCGGCACCAGGGAGCTCGACGGGCGCTGCATGGAAAGCTCCATCGCATGTTCCATCTTGTCCTCGTCGTCGGACTCGACAGGCTCTCCTTCAATATCCTCTTCGGTCTCAGCGGCCGCAACTTGGACCCATTGACTCTTTTCTCAAGGCCTCGAAATGCATCCACCAAAGCCATCACAATGGTCTTGATGCCAGAGTCAGCATGGAGCTGCGAAGCACTCCTGCTTAACCTCAGTTCTCGCATGAGAAGGATCCCCATTAATAGTCATGAAGAGAAGCAGAACCTTGAATTGCACATGCTGAAGCTTGGGAGCCCATCCCAATCAGGCGCAGGAGCCCCAACTTCCAAATCAGAGGCTGGCCGATCCTGGTAGGCCTGCCCGTCGCATTGATCATGTGCTCAGAGACCTTATAAGTAGAGGTCAGAAGTGGGAGGATTGGAAAATCATTCAATGGCTGCATGAATGCTGGGAAGCAGCTGGCAAGAAGGCAGTCGATCTGCAGGCTTGCGAGCCTTAGAACAGACAGCTGCAAGTTGCGCAGCGCTGTAGGTGTGGAAAATCGCGAGAAAAAGGCATTTCTCAGACGCACACCTCCTCCGCAGTCTTGGCTGCTGGGGTAGCAAGCAAAGGGGGCTGAGGCTGACCAGGCGGAACGACAGGAAACGCTGCTTCCTCTGTTGGAATCGCATCTGCCTTCTTCGCGACCTTTGCCGGCTTTGGGTTCCCATTGTCAGAGTCCTCAGGCTCAGGTACATCCACCAGGGTGTCGGGGATGTCGACTGGGCAATCCTCCTCTACTTCTTCCTCTTCACCACCCTCTAAATCATCATCACCTTCATGACCCTCCTGTTGCTTCTGATGATCAGCCGACTTCCCAGTGAAGCTAGGATCTTCAAGGATGGGGCCAGGGTGACGCTCCTCTGCAGCCTCTGCGCGCTCGGTCCTGGCAGCTGCAGAGGTTGACTTAGGGCGCGGGCCAAGCATCTTGGTCAGAACGGCTTCCAGCTCCGGCATCGTCATGTCTCGGTACTCCCCCGATTTCTTGCACAAGGCGAAGACTTCCTCCACGTTGCTCCAAGTCACGTCGACACCCAGGACCTCTTCGCGAAACCAACCAACTGACGAGAAGTCCTCGCAGCCCTTGGATTCATTAAAGAAGGGGGACTTCTTGGCCGTCTCCTTCCACTCATTGGCCTTGGCTTGGGAAACATTGGTCCTTCCTCGCAAGTGGGGGGGGCGAAGGTCCATGCTGGACCCAGCAGCCTCAGCAGCGTGATCCTCCTCAGCCTGGCGCACCTTCTTGGCAGCGGGCTCCTGCTTGGCCTCCTCAATTTTGCGCGCTCTGGACTTCTTAGCAGGGCGCTGCTCGGGCTCTTCTGCCGCAGCAACCTTTGGGGCTGGCTTGGACTTGGCCTTTGCGGCCGCAGGCTTCTTGCGACACTCTCCAGCACCGGCAGATGCCTTGGCCGGAGCGCTCTTGTTCGGAACCCGGTTGGCCGGAGTCAAGAGGCCTTTCGCTTGCAACTGCGCCACTACACCCTCAAGCTTCAGCTGCTGCTCCTGCGAGAGCTTCTTAGGAGCCATGGCTCTCCCAAAGCGAAGAGGCGCCTGGACCTACCAGCGTCGCCCGGGATCGCAGGAAATTGCCTCAGCAGGCCAGGCCGCCCCGCGTGAATTCGTGTGAAAAACCGTGATTTCACAAGGCCGCCAATACATGTTTAGACCACGTGGGTCGTGAAAAAACGAGAAAACACGTGAATTCCTCATTGGGGGTTGCCACAGCAATAAAAAAATGGCTAACGTGAATTCACGTGAATCACGAACTTTCACTGGTCGTTGGGGTCC